GAGGTGAATCATGGCACTGCTGTATTTGTCAGCTGGAGTGCTGTAAACATAGCCTCCCTGCATTGTGGTCTCAAAGCTCACTGTGGTCAGAGCCCAGTACAGAAGGTGATTGATCTGGAGACACCACCCACCCCGGGTCTTCCTCACAAGTTGATCAAAAACAGCCTCCAAGCCCAATTCCATGGGTTCCCCACAGTGGATGTTAAGGTTCTCAAAGGGAATGGCCTGGATCTGGTGCTGAAGAATGTCAGTTAATGTTTCCAGGTCCAATTTGTTCCTAGAGTTCTTATAACCAATTCTTTCAAAATATGCTTCGATGTCCATGATCCCCTGTGGCAAGGAAAAGAAAACAAAAACACATACTGTTACATTTGCAGTTCGATTTCCTTAAGTAGGTTAATTATAGTAATGTATTTTAAGTATTTACAGACAAATACTAATGTTAAAGTGGTTATAAACATCTGTAATTATAATTCTTTTAAAGATTTTTAAAATTTATTTTTAAATAAAATATTTTTTCATTATTGTGTTATTTTTGACATATAATATATGTAAGTTTAAGGTGTATAATGTGATGATTAGATACATTGATATTGCAAAGTGATTACCATAATGAGATTAGCTAACACCATTTTGTAACCTTTTTTTGTGTTGATTACATTTAAGATCTACTCTCTTACCAACTTCCTTTTTATTTCTTTTTGTATAGAATATAGTATTCTTAATTATAGTTAAGATGCTATTTATTAGATTCTCTAGTGCTTATTTATCTTCTAGCTTGCAGTTTGCACCCTTTGACATACATGTCCCCACTTCTAACCCCCTGCCCCTCTAATTCATGGCAACCACCATTCTACTCTCTGTTTCCATGAGGTTGGCTTTTTTTCGATTTCACATATAAGTTAAAACATAAAATATTTGACATTATTTGTCTAAATTATTTCACTTAGCATCATAATGCCCTTAACATCCATCCATGTTGTGGCAAACACTATGGTTTTCTTCTTTCATATGGCTGGATGGACACTTCGGATGTTTTCATTTCTTGACTATTTTCTAAAATGCTGCAATGACATGGGGGTAGAGGTATCTCTTCAGGATTGTGTTTTCATTCCCTTTGGCAGTATTCCTAGAGTCGGATTGCTGGATCACATGGTAGTTCTTTTTTTAATTTTTTGAGAAACCTCCATACTGTTTTCTGTAGTTGCTGTACATTCTCACCAGCAGTATACAAGGATTTCTTTTTCTTCACATGACCTCACCAATACTGGTTGTTTCTTGTCTTTTATATAATAGACAGTAACAGTTTCAGGCGATATCTTATTGTGGTTTTGATTTGCATTTTCCTGAGGTTTGTGTCATTAAGCATCTTTTCATGAACCTGGTGGCCACTTGTAATACTTTTATAGAAAAATGCCCATTCAAGTTTTCCATCTATTTTTTAGTTGGATTATTCAGGGTTATGTTTTTTTTCTATTAAATTGTATGAGTTTCTTTTTTTCTTTTTTCTTTATTGATTAAAGTATTACATATATGTGTTTATCTCCTCCCAGT